TTCCATTTTAGTTCTGCACTGGATCTGTAACAACCCTGAGCTTGACAGCTCTATTAATTTAAATGCTCAGTGATACCTATTAGTACAAAGCATGAAAAAAATGCTATTAATCATTTATTTTAATTTTGCAGCTCTGTCATTTTCGCAGTATGTTTAAAAATTATGGTGACACCATAATGTTTTCCAATCTACCTGTGTGAAGGGGAAACAGAGCACACTACTTAAGAGAGATACTAGAGTATATTATTAGAGCTTAATTAATGCCAGACTGATTAAATGTGATTGCATTTTGCACAATAATATTGTTAAGGAATTGTTTAAAAGAGCTGTCACATAGAGCTCTATTTAAAACCATTGGGCTGGATCATGGAGGCACAAATGTGCACAACCCAAGCCAGGACAGAGGACACAAAAGGCGAGCATCGGCACTACCAAGCCTGTTATTTCAAAATAACGGGCTTGTTATTTCAAAATAATAATTCCTGCTTGTGAAGAGAAATAATAATTCTTTTGAAATAGCTATTTTGAGAGTTATTTAAAAACACTCTGGTAGAGTAGACATAGCCATAGAGGGCTTCAATCTCACCTTTGCACTCCTCTTATCCTAAGGCTTCTGCATGAAGTGCAGAGGTCAGACTACCCTATGTTAGAACACCCTTAAGGGCTCTTTTTTTTTATTATTTTGCACATTTGCATCTGGCCTCGGTCACTTTTTGGGATAGGCACAATGCAATGTTGCCCAGCCGTGCTTGCTCTAGCAGCAGGGAGAGGAATAGCATATGAAGCTCTAATCCAGTGCTTCTCAAACTGTGCTTCACCTGCGAGACATCTCCAGGGGCTCCGCGAGGTTGACAAACTAGAAACATCAATAGGTACAACACATACAATCAGTGGACCACTGGGGCTCCGCATAAATTTTTACGCATGTAAAGGACTCCGGAGCCCAAAGAAGTTTGAGAACCGCTGCTCTAATCCATGGGATAATCCTGTGAATCTCCTGGCCATCCCTACAGCCAGTTGCTGATAGTGTGGAGCCAAATGGCCAGCACTACCCATGCACATTATTCAATATGTTCATATTTTAATTTAATCTTGTGTCCTCTGAAGCGTAGCACCAGGCCTGGCTTTAGGGCACAGCGAGCAAGGTGGTTCCCTTGGCCCCTGCACCTTCAGGGCCCATGCTGCTTGCTCACTCACTGCCCTGGCTGGGAGCTACCTGGTCACATGGTACAGCCAACCACAGTATACTGCCTTGGGCCCCACAAACTCTTTGGCCAAGACAGTGTAGAGCTTACTGTTAATATTTTAACAAAAACTGAAATATCATGTAGCAGACTTACCCTGAAGGACCTGGGCAATGCAGACTAAGGGGCTAGTATGGGGACATAGGAGTCAGGGGAGGGCTTTGGAGATGTAGGAGGCCAGTGCAGGAGGCTCAAGGTGGGGAGGTGAGAGAGTGAGGGTTGGGAGGTGAGGAAGGGCTCAGGGTGGGGTTCCATCCAAGATGGACCTTTTCTCTCTCCCCAGAACCCTCCCATCAGGGTCTTTTCTTTTCCCCCAGGCCTTCCCAACTGCAGGGGCCTTTTCTGTCCCATCAACCTCAGGGGTGTTTTTTTCTCCTCCCCCAGCCCTCTCCTCAGCCACCAGGGGCCATCTCTCCCTCCCCCGGTGCTGCAGCCAAGGGCAAGAGGGGGAGGGGAAAGGGTTTGGGATAGGAGGGCTACTTAACCAGTGTGCTGGCAGGCAAAATGACAGAGTCCCAGCCTTGCTAGCCACTCCCTTGGTAGTACGATTGCCCCCAGTGGCCACTCTGTGCCAGTTTAGTTCTCCTAGTGGGCCTGCTGTCCCCAGTGGCCACTCTCAGTATCGCGTTCCTCCGAACAGCAGCCCCACCCTTTTCATGTTATGGATAACAGTCCCTTTCCAGGCACTTCCATTGTCCTGGCACAACCACCACCTGACCCTGCTTTATGTAAGGAGAAGAGGAAGCTGCATACCAAATTTGATGGGTCTAGCTCTTACCATTTAGGAGGAGTTCTTGAACAAATGAACACTCTCTCTCTCACACACACACAAACACACATATTCTGTCTTCAGTGGAAGGGCAATGATAAGCTCTTATTTAAACATATTAGAAACAGATACATAACTAGCACTCATTGTAGAGTCCAATAGCATAAAAGGAAAACTGTTTGATCTAAGAAACACAGTTAATACATTAACCTTATTACTCCCTAGTGCTTCTCATTTACTGGATGCATTGTGTTACTATGGCTTCAAGGCACATTTTGAAGCTCTGACCTGCTCCTGAAAAAAATGTCCATTTATACATTTACAATCATTTTTATTATCACAGACTCAGACTTCTTATTTATTAGCAAACATTACTATCTTCAGATAGGGAGAAATTACCATCTCTAATTTTCAGAGTTATGCTCTTTAAATTGGGCATCGTTTTCTTTTAGCAAGTATATCAGTAGATGCAATTGGGCTGCAAAAATGATTTTAATATTTCTAATGCTATGTTTTCCCTGAAGCCATTTATTAATGTCAAAGCCCTGTAAAAGTTCTGCATTAGAACTAGAAAATGCACTGGGTGAAATCCTGGTTTCATTGAGGTGAGTGGGAGTTTTGCCAGTGATATCAGTGGAACCAGAATTTTATCAATTGTGTTTTATACTGCCCTTTCATCAAATGTCTCAGAAATTATTAGTAGTTCTTATGGCTGCTTACAGTTTCCTTTTGGGTGGGGCTTTGTTTTCTTTTGTTGTTTTGGGCTTTTCTTAAAATACAAAGTTTTCTAAACAGAATAATTTTCTCTTCTTTTTCCTAAAGCAGCAACTTAACTTTGCATCATTTAGAAATATTTCTCTTGATTTTCTGATAATCAAAATCCATGTACATGTACAAAACAAGCACAAACACATTCAAATTGACCCAGTGGTTATATAAAATTCTCCCAACCCAACAGAATTAAATGGTTTCTCAACACAGGACTTTCAGTTCACACTGAACCCATGGGCTCCAGGAAAGCATGAGAAAATAGCATTTGCATCTTCCATGAAAGTAAAGAGGATCTAGATTGGAGAGGCTTTGTGTATTCTTAAAAGAGGCCATCTCCAAGCCCAAACATATTGTCTCTGTGAGATGTATGAGTAACACCAAGCCAAGAGATAATTTCACAAGGCCAGGTCATCAGATGGCTTCAATAGAATTATGTTGATCTAGTCCCCGAATTGGTGCCCGAGTCTAGTTTGATTGTGAAAAAAAGAGAATCATACACCAAATTTCATACTAACAAACAATGATAATATACTAAACTTACATATTATGTTGAGGTGGAACAAAGGTGTGAAGAGAAAGATAAAATTCCTAGAGTTAAACAAGCCCCTTCACCCCATTGAGATTTTTATGTTTCTGTCTTTTTAGATTTTAAAGTAAATTTCCACCCCCACCACCAAGAAAATGCTTGTTCTATATTTTAATTAGCCTTTCCACGTGATGTACATTTTTGTTTCATTACTATTAGTGAATGACAAATGAAGAATATTCATTTTAGCTTGAAAATGTCAGGTGTGCAGTTTGAGAGAAAGAGATTTTTTGCCATTTTTAATGAGGCAGTGTTTCTTTTGAAAAAAATACCCATTTCTGATGTGGATACGATGCAAGTGACAACTGATATTTAATAAGTGATGGTTCTTGTATTAGTTGTAGTTCACTAAAGAAAATGTCTCAGATTGCTTTTGAAAAACTCTTAGTGTCACTAGCCCAAAGGCAAGATGTGACCTTTTTATTACATAATGAGAATCATTTATTATCTTACAATGTATCTTAAAGTCACAGACAAAATGCCACTTTGATAATTGCTTTCAATTAGCTCTGAGCATAGCATACATTCATAAAATGTCTTCTCTAATTTAGACTTGAATTAGAGAAAATTGCAGACATAATATACTTTAAGGTTGTCTCATTTAAGGTGATTCGTAGTTTTATATCAAAGAAATCAAAATGAGTAGCTTTAGAGCAGTCTTTCAAAGTGTTTTAAACAGGCTTTTCAATATTTGATTCTATTCTATTACCAATTAATTAACAAATTAGAATGCTAGTTCATCATTTTTGACCTTTTTTTCTATGTTAACTTTTGACTTTCATTCCTAATGGTTCTTTTGAAATTAAGTATCATGGCTCATGTTAAAAGAGAAGAAAAATCTGATTAGGGAATAAATAAGGCATGCTATGATATAGTGTATATCTTAATAATGGGAAACCAGCTTGTGGTGTCCCTAACATACAGTGTGTCCTTTCCTGCTTTTGAATTCCTTTTCACTATGTGGATATGTAAAATATTCAGGTGACAAGTAGTGATAAAAGGGCAGGTTATAAATCTCATGCTCATGAAGTAAAAGAGCTTATTGCCATGTTCTTATTATATATGATTAATAACATAGTTTGCCTGCATAATTAAAATGTATGTGTCGTAACTGACCATAAATGGATTTGATTATGATATAAGCAAATATTAGGCATAACAAAACGTTTTTCCATCAGGTCCACTGATGGTGGGTGTGAGGAGGGCAAAGGAGGCCATTAAACTGGGGGCCGTGTCTCAAAGAGATCCGGGGTTCCCAGCTGTCTCTGCTGCTACCGTGGCAACAATGGCAGCTGGAGCCCTAGGTCCTTTCAATTGCCACCAGAGCACCATGCAGGGCACTCCAGGCAGTGATGTATGATGGCTTCCCCCTACCCCACCCTTTCTGCTGGAGGCCCTGCCCCTTCAGAGGCATAAAGTCAGGGCCCTCCCATGCCTTGACCCGGGGCTCATAGTGGCTGTTGGCCTCGTTGATTTCCATATCTTCCTTTCATTCCTGGGTCAATCAGATGTTCAGAAGCTACATTTTAAGATTTGAAATGGTTGTCTCTTTGGATATTTGTAAAATTATGATAAAGAAGCTGAGTTAGTTAAAGGGATAACTGTATTTATTTTTCTTTTCCTCCCTCAGATAAAAATTACCCACAAGAATCAAGCCCCAATACTGATGGGACCTCCTCCAAAAACTGGTCTATTCTCCTCCATCATCAAAAGAACAAGGAACCACAGTAAAGAATAAGCCTATGAGTTTAGTTCTTAGAAAACAAATTAGCAGTGCTGGGCTTTGAAATATTTATGCCGATAATCTTTCAAAAGTTTTAGAATACTCACAGAATCCTGGAATTTGGTATAATAGTTTCTGTGACTGAGCTAATGTAAAATTATGCTATTAGAAAAAAATATTGTCACTTTTTTAGGCATTTTGCATGAAGAAAGCAGATGTTTATATACAGTGATATGGAATATTTTTGTTGCATGTATTACCATTTACTAATTTAAGGGATAATTCTGCCATGGAACATGAGGAGGAAATGCTCTGGGAGGGTAATTTGATTTATTTGGTAGGACTTTATTTGTAGTTAATCTAATGCAGTGATCATAATCCAGAGATTCTGTAGTTGCCCTCTTGAACCCAAGCATCTTCCAATCAGCAACTGATTTGACCTGTATCACATAAGAGCTTGGGAGTTCACTGATCCCATTAATTTGCCCTTTTACACTTAACATTTCTTGCCACTTTTGTGAATATTTTTCTTCAGCAATTTAACCTCACTGAATAGTATTAAAATATTTTTCTTTGCTAATACCACTCATCTTTCAAACACTGATGCATGTGAGTAACTTTACACACATACAAGTCTCATTGGATCACTGGTACTACTCACATGCAGCTAACTACTCATGTGTAAGTTTTTGCAATTTGGGAAGTCAATGCAGGTTTGTCTGAGCAAGGACTACAGGCTAGGGCTAGGCAGAGAATAAATGGAATACTGCTTGTGAAGCTAGCCAACAGTGTTGTTTGTTGAAACATTAAAACATTTTACTCAACAGTAAATCTTTGTAATATGTCAAAATTTAAATCATCTTGTTTATTAGTCTATAGTGCAGAGTGTATGCACACAAATAACCAAACCGCATGCCTAATAAACTGCATTTCCCACCATAGATTTAGTGAAGGAGGCTTCAGAGAAATGGGTTAATGCATAATTAATCATGCACACTGGAGCAGACATACTTTTGAAAATTTACAGTTCTTTGATTACCTTGGCAATGTCCAAATTAATCCTGGAATAGGAAAGCCAGTCTATTAATTACAATTTACATACTCACCTTTCATTTGTTTTATACATTAACAGACTGACACCTAAACTTGCTGCTTCACAATTAAAACCGTTTCTGATTTTTTTTTTTGTTATTTATAATTTGCAACATCCCTAATTTTCTCATGCGATTGATTAGTCTCCTAAAGGAAAGGACATGTTCTTATCTGTTCCCTTTTTAGTGACTGCTCACTGAAATCAAAACAATTCCTCTTATAATAATTTGAGAAGCAATTGTTTAGGTCTTCATTTTCTCAGCCCTTTGAGAGACTTCTTAACAGCTTCCAAATGGCAGCAGAGGTCTTATTGTGTATGGTTCACATGGCACTGTCAGACTGTCTAATGGTTAGATCCAAGAATGGCAACCTTTTTCAGGATTGCATATAAATTTATAATATGGGTCTAAAGTAAAATGGTTTTTTTTATGCAGCCTTGACATTGTTCTTTGTTCAAAACGACCTACACCTCATCACTGCATGTTTTATGTTCTCAAACATTCCAGCAGGCGGGTGGGGGGAAGGACAGGAGAGAACTGCTTGAAATGCATGATTCATTAGTTTTCTCCCACCTTTATCAATACATTAAAGTGCCAATGAGTTATCCAATCTCTTTTTTTATCAATAAAAAAACAAATAGCATTTAATCATTCTGTTGTGCACGGTACTGTGCATGGATTTAAGAAAAGCTGCTACCATTTGGTTCCTCGGTATCAGTATTCAACATCTCTTTTGTATATAATAGATACTGAACAAAAGGCAGTGTACTGCTAGTGAAGATTATGTATATGAAATATTGTTCTCAATGTTCTGTAAACATTAGGAGGCAAATTAAGTTCAGCATCAGTTAGAAAAATGAGGTGACAATTATTCCTTAAAATTAAGACATAATTCACTATTGCTGGGTCGAGTGACATAGGATTCGAACGTCACTTGTTTTGTAGATTATTTGCACTCGCTCACACACAAATGATTCTGATGCAGAAATTACTGCATCATTCCATAATTACAAGGTAAAAATATTTGCATAAAGAATACTTGCTAGCATAATGTGCACATTGGCTTTCTGAAATTATGGTTATAGGTAATAAATATTTTCACATGACTTGACATAGAATTTTCTACGGTTGCTATTCAGTTTTTTTGTGTTTAAAACATGTTTAATGATATCATTATATAATGTGCCCTCTATGATAATCTCATGAATACTGTATCCCTGAAAAATAAATAAAATGGTGCATAGGCTATTTTTTAACAATGTATGGCATTTTTAAAGTGTTGGATAGCCTGTGAATAGGTAACTGTCAGATATACTGTTTTTCATATATAGAAGGATAGATGGGCTCATATATTCACACCCACACTCCTCCATCAGAATAGTTGATTTCTCTCATGATATTTGTGCTAAAGGGGCTAACTCACAACTTCCATTGTCACTGATGAAATAAATATAACAGATCATTCATTAAAATCAATGGCAAAACTCACATTGACTTCAGTGGGCACAGGGAAGGAATCAGTCCATGATGATATTTGCAAACTAACGTCATATGAAATACATGCAGTGAGACTGTCTGAATATTCTCACTGGATTTGCAAATTTGGCATTGACTTGCTAGAATGTTGCAGCCGCTCAAAGCAATGTTCAGTCAAAAACATCTCTTCTCCCTCTCCTTGACATCTTTTATTCACTCACTACTTCCTTTACTCACTTCTTTTCTTCCTTGGATTTGGTTAGATGAATCACTGCAGGATTTCACCATAAGTCTGTAGGGAGAATTATAGTTTGAATTCTGTGAAAAGTGAAAAGCAAGAAGGTAACCAATCTGAGCACTGAGATTAAGAATTAACCAGTTGCTCCTCTAGAATTAATCCAGTGTTTAACTTGTTCTGTATTTTATAAATGCAGTTATTAGAAGTGACATGATTATTACTTATATTTTATAGTTACTCTGTATCCCAGTGTTTGTTAGGCACTTGGGTGTTACATCCGAGGGTACTGAGGCAAATGTCATTGAGGAACCTTTGGCTATTATCTTTGAAAATATCTTTGTGGAGATCGGGAGAAATCCCGGATGATTGGAAAAAGGCAAATGTAGTGCCCATCTTCAAAAAAGGGAAGAAGGACGATCCAGGGAACTATAGGCCGGTCAGTCTTACCTCGGTTCCTGGAAAAATCATGGAAGGGATCCTTAAGGAATCCATATTGAGGCACTTGGATGAGAGGAAAGTGATTAGGAATAGTCAGCATGGATTCACAAAGGGCAAGTCGTGCCTGACCAATCTGATTAGCTTCTATGATGAGGTAACTGGCTCGGTGGACATGGGAAAGTCAGTGGATGTTATATACCTTGACTTTAGCAAGGCTTTTGATACGGTCTCCCACAATATTCTTGCGAGCAAGTTAAGGGAATGTGGCTTGGATAAATGGACGGTAAGATGGATAGAAAGATGGCTAGAAGGCCAGGCCCAGCGGGTAGTGATCAATGGCTCGATGTCAGGATGGCGGTCGGTTTCTAGTGGAGTGCCCCAAGGTTCGGTTCTAGGACCGGTTTTGTTCAATATCTTTATTAATGACCTGGATGAGGGAATGGATTGCACCCTCAGCAAGTTTGCGGATGACACTAAGATGGGGGGAGAGGTAGATACGCTTAAGGGCAGAGATAGGGTCCAGAATGACTTAGACAAATTGGAGGATTGGGCCACAAAAAATCTGATGAGGTTCAACAAGGATACGTGTAGAGTCCTGCACTTGGGACGGAAGAATCCCAAGCATAGTTACAAGCTGGGGACCAACCAGCTAAGTAGTAGTTCTGCAGAAAAGGACTTGGGGGTTACAGTGGATGAGAAGCTAGATATGAGTCAACAGTGTGCCCTTGTAGCCAAGAAGGCTAATGGCATATTAGGTTGCATTAAGAGGAGCATTGCCAGCAGATCCAGAGATGTCATTATTCCCCTTTATTCGGCTTTGGTGAGGCCACATCTGGAGTATTGTGTCCAGTTCTGGGCCCCCCACTACAAAAAGGATGTGGACGCATTGGAGAGGGTCCAGCGGAGGGCAACCAAAATGATTAGGGGGCTGGAGCATATGACTTATGAGGGGAGGCTGAGGGACTTGGGTCTGTTTAGTCTGCAGAAGCAAAGAGTGAGGGGGGATTTGATAGCAGCCTTCAACTTCCTGAAGGGAGGTTCCAAAGAGGATGGAGATAGGCTGTTCTCAGTAGTGACAGATGGCAGAACAAGGAGCAATCGTCTCAAGTTGTGGTGGAAGAGGTCCAGGTTGGATATTAGGAAAAAACTATTTCACTAGGAGAGTGGTGAAGCACTGGAATGGGTTACCTAGGGAAGTAGTGGAGTCTCCATCCCTAGAGGTGTTTCAGTCTCGGCTTGACAAAGCCCTGGCCGGGTTGATTTAGTTGGAATTGATCCTGCCTAGAGCAGGGGGCTGGACTTGATGACCTTCTGAGGTCTCTTCCAGTTCTATGATTCTATGATTCTATGATCTATGGTTCTGATATGCTACAAAGTACTGAAATTTCCTTGACAGTTAGGTTCTGAATGAGGAGGACATATGAAATGATTTGAGTCATACATCCACAATGATTGCCTATTTTTCAAAATCAGAATACAAGTAGACCCATAGTATGAGTTAAGGATGTTGACAGATATATTGGTGTGAAAAAACTGTTTAAATCAGTAAATGTCTGGATTTAATACTGATTAGATAGCATAAAAATGATAGAGCCACTTCACAGCAAATTGAACAAGGAAAAATATTCTGATCCAGAATTTAGTGCTTGTGGGCTGTTAACATTTTTATGGTCAATTTCACACATTTCGTGCTGGCTTTCATCTGTGACTTGCTTTCTCCCAAGCCAAGGGAATTCTGGGGCTTGTAGTCTCCAGCACAAGCATGTGCTTGATTGCAGGCTAACAAGGCTGGCTGGGAAAGGAGCAGGTCTACAAAAAGAGCTTCCTCATGCTCTCTTGGAAAGTGCAAAGGGAAAGATAGCAGCTGCGGGGGAGGAGAGGAACTGAGCTTGCTGGTCTGTACAAGAACACCAGTGACTACCTGCACAGCAAGAACAAGGTAAGAGCACAGAGGACTGTGCAAAGGGGCAATAAAATAAAATCAGGGTAGGAGCCTGGAAGGACTGTGTTAAAGAAGCTGGGAAAGGACCCTAGACAGGATAGGCATTGCAGAAAGTTTACTGTGGAATGGTGACATTGGTTGGTTTTCAGCTGGGAATGTTCAATTTCTTTGCAGTTAAAAGCAAAGGAGTTTTGCTTACGTTTGGATATTGTGTTACCAGGGATTACCCAATAGGTAGACTAAACACGTGCTTAGGGCACCAGCAAAGCAGGGACACCAAAAAAAAAAAAAAAAAAAAAAAAAAGATTTTATGGTATAGTATTGTTTTTATTTTGAATTACATATGGGGGAAGGGGGGACCATAATCTTTTCAGTGTTTAGGGCCTCTAAAGGTCTTAATCCAGCCCTGTGAGTTACCCTAAAAGATGAGGACTCTTGCCTTGGCTGGAGAGCCAAAAAGCCAAATGCTCTGAATCAACAACAGGAGCAAAAAATAAAAATAAAAGAAGATGCAGGAATGGGAAAACTAAGGCACAACCACCTTGGGTATGGAGACAGGCAAGCAACATAACTTTTTATCTAGAGGAGACTAATGCTGATCTTGTCCAGCCTGTGGTCATTTGGCAATTGCTTGCTGGGTAAACTTTCCTTTCCTGGATGTTTTTTTTCTAAGCAGAGGGAGCTCTTCCTGTAGTCATGCCTCCTTGCCAGCAGGCCTTTCTATAGCCTGCACTCACATGTTAGCTCCATGGGGTAAAAGCCCTGCAATGCCCTTAACTAAGAGGAAGTAAAACATAGGTCAGAGCTGGGATTTGAACCCTTATGCTTGCCCTTTAACAGTCAAGTGCTAAACATCTGCAAGTGGGGTTTACAGGGAAAACATGGGCTGGCCCCCTTAGTTGAGGCAGAGCTATTAGTGCCTCTCAGCTAAATCAAAATCTGCAGTCGTTGGAACATGCAAAGACATTTCTCCATGTTGTTGAGTTGTCACCTTCTACCTATAGTCACAGTACGGCTACTCAAAAAAAGTTGCCAATCATCTATTTTATAACAGGGGAATGTGTATTTCTCATATTGTCCTATCCAAACCCAGGATGTGATTTTTGCTTAAACCTTGAGAACCAGTTTCCTTTCAGGCAGCAAACTTGGAAAATTTGAGCCCAGTTTCAGAAAGTTCTGAAGAACGGAAAACGAGGTTATGGCTCATACACATGTACACCAAAGACATATAAAGCTCTGCGCCAGGAGTTTAATATTAAACAAACATTGTGTGTGTTGTGTGGTAGTAATTGCAAGCAAGAGCCAGAAACCGGGTGTGCAAACCTTCTCCTTTCATCAGGAACAGCAGCTGAGGCAGAGAAACTTCTCCATTGCCATTCATTTCCCTTTTGTCAAACTGCCCCACAGCCTGAAGCTCTGGGTAGGAGACAATAGCCTGTTCTCTTTAGGCATTTGGAATCTCTTGTTGGCATTTCAGAGGTTGAGTTCTCTCTCTGATTCATGATTCAAAGAGATTACCTGAGAAGCACCATGGAGAACTTTACAATAATGACTCAGGCTAAGATTAAATATTGTTGTTATGTGTGTATGTTTGTATTTATTTATTTTGCTACTTCTACAAAAAATCAGAGAGAAAACCCCTACCACTCATTTTGTTAGAGCAGCACAATTCAGTTTCAATTAAACAGGCAGCTGAATTGCTGGATGGTGCTTTTGTGTGCTATCACCCCCACTACACATTAGCAACCTTGATGCCTAGGACTACTGAGCCAGTTGGACTGTGCCCCATGCAGCCTCAGGCATTACACAGGAGATGGTGGCAGAGTGTGGGCTCCTGGATGGGGTTGTGCTGTGCAGTGAAAAAGTCCTGGAAGTAGCAATGCCCATCCCCCAGGCTACCACAGTTGCCCCCCATAGCTAGCTCCTTGGTATCCCCCATCACAGCCCCCTTTATGAAAATTGGCTTATGAATATGCATAACCTGAAGACACTTCAGATCAAATCCCTCCTGTAACATGTCAGTTTTATGTTACAATCTATATATCCTATTTTTGTGCATGTATCATTCTTGTCTATGAAGTTAGAAATCTGAAGTGTGGCTCCGTTTATAATTCCAAATGTGCTAATGAGGGCCATTACTTATCCTCCCCTGAAACTTCATGGCTTGGTGATCAAATCAGCAGCTCAGGTTTTATTCTTCCTGAAAGCCCGTACTGTGGTTGATTCTAAAAAGTCATGTGGCCAGGCCACCTGATGCTAAAGCCCATTTTGGATCCTGTACTCTTCCACCTGAGGTGAGAAAAGTTTGAACTGAGCACAGAGAATTTCTGCCTTGGGCAAAAGGGATATAAGATGGGAAAACAAACAGTAGGGACAGTTGCCAGACACCTAGAGACTGTTCCCCTCTTACCACACAAGATAGTTGAAGGAAACATCTAAGACTGAACGGGGGAAGGATTGGACCCAAGCTTGGAAGCTGCTTATCTGTCTTGTGAAAGAGGTTATTAGAATAACCGTTTAAGGTAGAATTTGCATGTATCATGTTTTAGTGGATTAGGACTATCTGGCATTTTGTGTTTATTTTAACTTAGTAACTCACTTTGATCTGACTGTTTTCACTTGCAACTGCTTAAATCCCACTTTTTATACTTAATAAAAAC